AAGCAGTTACCAGAATCTCATTCATCTTGCACTGCTGTAGGAATGTCTTCAAAAATCAATGTCTCAGTATAAGCTGCTAGTTTGGACTCATAGACTTAAAAAAATTCAGCTCCTGAAGTAATGTTTAGTTACTACCGAAACCAGCCAGTTTTTCAAAAGACAGGTCAATTCACAGCCCATGTTAAAGTCAGACGTGGCCAAAAGCCATTGCTCTGGAAAACTGAGAGCAACACAGTTATGAACATAACCAGCACAGCTTCCTGACCCTTCTTTCTCCCTGCTTGCAATATCACCTCCAAAGGGGAAAACATTTGGGGCCACATGGCACTGAAAAGTTTGTAGCTGTCCCCGCTTTTCCTTCTCCTTCTGGGATCCCAGCTGTTTCCAGCACCAGATATTTTGTTTTTAAGAAAACACCCTTAAGCCCTCAGCCCTAGCAAGCAACAGGTTCACGTCTTGTTCCACTCTGCAGTGAGACACAGGCTCTGGTGTCCCTCCTCCTCACACCCCACCCGCATCCACCCTGCACTCACCTCTGGTTTACTGTGCTGCAGTCCCACTGCTGCGAGAACAGGATGACACCGTGCAGAGACAGACCCTAAAATGCTTACTTTGAAAACCACACCCAGCTCTTTACTCTCTTGTTGGTCCAAAGCTGCTGCAGCCTTTGAGTTCAGGCCCTGGGTGGCACAGGAAGTACAGTCACACAGAAACAGCTAGGAGCACCCACAGCAGGACGCTCTCACCTTGAGACCAAAGCTCCAACAAGCTCTGAGCTGGCTGCTCTTCCTCCACACCAGCTAGTGCTCTGAGGAAGGATCACCTTCAAAGTACTTTGTCAAAGCAGGTAAGGCATGCTTCTGCCCAAAAGCCAGATCTTGAAATGAAATGTTCAGACTTCTCAGGCCACTCAGATGATTTGTTTCTCCCACAAATGCTTTCTACACCTGGAAATTCAAGGCATCCCCTTGCACAAGAGAAGTGCTTAATAATTTCTGGTTTTTTTCCATGCCCAAATAACTCCAAAGTGCTGCAAATCATTATTTCCTTCCAGCTCTCTCCAAAATAACACCATTGGTTTTGGATCAAGAATCTGTATTTTGCTCTAGAAGGAGTTTTATAGCAGAAAGTATGGAACACCTGAAAGCTGGTGTGTGCAGAGAGTGTTTGAAAGGGGAACACGGAGCTCATGAATGTGAGGAACTGTCACTTCCTATGATTAACATCCATGTGGCTGGATGTATCAAATAGTGCACAATAAAAATTAAGTTTATCTTCACCTCCACAAAACAAAACTACGTTTCTTTCTGTCTTTTGCTGAGCTCCTCTGCTTGCTTCTTTAAAAACCACAACACTTATTTGCTGCTTAGGGCTCTACTATCATGACTTGTTTTCAGCTGTGTCCCCTCCTTGCCATTCTGTATCATGCTTACATTATTTCAGTAAGAATGAAGGTTTTATGTTGTGAATAAGTACGTTTGCAGCAGATGCTTGGGGTGATTTCTTGCAGTTAGTCATACAGCAAACGAGGCTGCAAATTACTAAGACAAGGAGCAATGTGGTCCTTTGCCACTTCCAGGAGTTACAGATTGTTTTAAGTTTTGAGCATAAGGCATTAGTGGTTCTGACTAGAGAGAGAAAATCTCCTGTTACATTTTCTGTCATCTGCCTGTACGTCCTCAGCCGCTGCCACTTCACTTTACTCTGTCTCTTTCTGATTTTGTGGAGTGCTTTTCTCTCCCTCCCTTTCATGGTCCTGCCTGGTGCCTTGCTGGTGCCAGGACCTTGCTCAGCCTCTTCCATGAAACAGAAATTCTCATTCGCAGGAGCTTTTACAGTTTCGTGCCCCATGATCAATGGTGCTTTTCCCAAAGCCATGGGTCTTGGATGCTTTTCTTTATTAAATAAAAGAGAATAGTCTTACTTTCAAACACCCAGTTCTATTCTTCAAAAGCATATGGGAGGAGAAGAGTTTGAAAACACTGCGAAAACACTGCCCCTGTGCCTTCTACAAATAGCATAACCAAAAGGTGGACACAGGGTCCAATCCTGAAGTCTGTCACTCTTTTAAGACATCTCATGTTTATGAGGGACCAGTGGACTGAGATGATGCTCTTCGCTTTCTACTGTCAGTGAGAGCTAATGGATGGCCCAAGGTGTCCCAGCTACAGCAAATCTCGACAACAGTGGAAATTTTTTTCCTGCCTATGTCCTCTTCTGTGTTTCTTTACTGTCTGTGTACAGCAGTAAATCAGCCAGCAAGGGAATCTCTCTTCTACCTTTTGGTTTCCCTGGTCTCTAAGAAACTCTGCCATCACCCATTGTAGACTGCAACAGCATCTGCCCAGCACCAGCCCTGGTCCCTGCCATAGGAGAAAAGAAGGGTGGTTGGAAGCCCCTCTGCTGGTGGTTGACGTTTCCTGCATCCTCCACAGGCTTGAGTTCATTATCCTGGACCATTTCCAGAAGGAGGAGCAGTTAATATCTCATTCTGTGCCTGCTCTGGGACGTTTCTCTCATGTTCTGAGAGTTCACCAGAAGCACCCAGCACTGAATGACAGGAACAGAGATTCCAAGCCAGCAGACTGGAGGAGGATTAAGCCATGCTTTTAGAGAGGTGCATGGGAGACAGCACAGGATTATTCCCCACCAGTTCTCCTGACTGCTGCAGGAGGACCATGTTTTTCTGCTGCAGGGAAAGAGAGGGTGTAGAATTAAATCCTGGAAGGATAGATCAGGAAATGCTGAGTGCGTGTAGATACCATTTCAGAGCCAGCACCATTTTGCCTTGTGGATGTACCCACTCAGTTCTGGGGTCTTTCCTCCCTTACAGATGAACTGTCACTGAACCCAGGCCCAGCTAGGTCTTAACCATCCCTACCTGTGGCTCTGCCCCAATGCAGGGTCTGGATTGTAACCACAGAGTTATGTTTTCAATCGAAGAGACCCATGGGCAGAAGATCTAGCAATTCCTTTGTGAACAATGGCTATTAGGTCTACCTTGTCTTGCCACAAGAAAGGAAGCAACAGCCTTCATGATATCTCCAACTAGAGATGTGAAAGGCTAACGTGACAAGTATGCCAGCCATTGCTACTTCCTTCCTCCCCTTTCCCTGCCAGTTCTTCGGGGCTGGCAAAATCCAGCCCTTAGTAGGTCTAGGCTGCTCCAGAGCTTTGGGGCTTTCTCCCCCTGAAATGAATACAGCACCTGCACCTACCTAGGCTGCATAAGTCTACCTGCCAGTTCTCATTTCATAGATATTTTGTGACATTTGATTGCCTGACACTGATAATAGGGCTGAAGTACCATGCCCTATTTCCTCCATCCTTACTTTCCAACTGAAAACTTCACTATACCTTGAACAGAAGGGCCCCCCCCCAAAATGCAGGTGATGTACACCCAGACATCTTCCTTGCCTATCACCAGGCAAAAACATAAAACATCTTTCTATATGGGTCCACCGGTCCTCTACAATTCCCGGTCTGTTCCTGAGAGAGCTGCTTTCCCTGTTTACTAGCAGGTCTCCATAGCAGTTTCCTTACCTCTGTTCCTGGGTTTATGGCACAAAAAACTGGGAGTGTGAATTCCTCTGCTAATCATTGGCTGGGATCTTGAGTCAGATAATACCAAGTTGTTTCCAAGTTCAACCAGGTGACTAATTTTCCAAGGATTAGTGAAATATCCTAGCCAAAGCCATTTTAAATAGACCACTTCAGGCCTTTGAAGTCTGGTAGCATCAAAATACATAGAATTTATGGAAGTTATTTAGTGACTTATGGAAGTAATTAAACAAGCGATATCAACACTGCTGTGTTTCTGTTACATGGGGCATATTGGAATCAGATCAGCCAGCTTCCCTGAGTTCCTGGTTTGCTCTGCTTCTGCCTGCCTGTTGGCTCTGCTCTCTCATGAGTTAAGTGCAACAGAGACCTTTCAATTCACCTTACCTTTGGGACTATTATTCTAATCCAGCTGCGGAAAGCCTTGCCTGCATCTTGAAGTGATTGCAGCGTTGGTTTCAGGAAGGCCTGAGAACCTCATTATTACGAACAAGCTTTTTGCTGCTGGGACAGTGGGAAGTGGTATTAAGGAACGGAACTGGAACAAACCTTGCCTTTGAGCCTGTATTGAATTTTTGACTTTTCCTGCAAGCTGCAGGCAGGAGGGCTGGGGGTGGGAGGAGGCTGCTGTCTGGGGCAGTGTCATGTGCTCTCCCACATTGCCCTATCGTACCAGCCAACAGTAATGCTCCCTGGTATTTTGCCACAGCAGCCTTCAAATGTCATTAGCCCTGTGGGTAATTCTTCTTTACACTCCAGTGCATCAACCTCACTCCTGGCATGAGGAAGTTGTATTGCCACTTAGGAGATATGTTTTCGAGTCTCAGTTCTCGCGTTCAAGATCTTGATTTCTTTCCTGCATGGCAGGCTTAAATTTAGCACTCGGCAAGGGTGTAGTGTGCTTTTGTATGAACTAATAGAAGTGGTCTTGAGGGCTGAGGACAGTGCTCAAAAATATGCCTAAGCCCTTGTGAGCAGTGGTAGGGCAAGGGAGGGGGTCTGGTGACACTTTCTGAGGGGGTCCAGTGACACCATGAGGACAGCATTTCCCTCCAGTACCTCTGCTGGTACTGCGGGGTGGCCGAGGGCTGGGGATGCTGGTGTTCAGTGGGTCTAGTCAGCTTATTTCCTCACTGTCCTGGCAGCAGGCAGGGAGCAGGTCCTTAGCAGGGAGCTCTACATTCCCCTCTGGAAACAAAAACCAAGCAGTTTATGCCTTTTGCTGGTTCTAGCCCTTCCCTCGTTGGAGAGGAGGGACCTGAGCAGATACACTGAAGACCTCAAAGGCCTTAAATGCTCCAGTGTTGAAGACCAGAGAAGAGGATGTTTGGATGTGACACAGCACTTATCAAATGTAGATCTCGGAGCATGGCCAAGGAATATTATTTGCCTTTTGTTCATTTTTTCCCCTCCTGACCAAGTGCTCCTTTTACTTGCAGCTCAGTATTTCGCTAGCATCATGATGATCGTTGGTCTGTCTGTGGTGGTAACAGTGCTGGTTCTGCAGTTTCACCATCATGATCCGCAAGCAGGAAAGATGCCCAAATGGGTAAGCAGCTTTGGTGATAAATATTCAACAGCCCACTGAAAGTTGTAAACTAATTGTAGATGAGGGGCAGAAGTTGTTCTTCATTAATCTGAAGAGTCAGCTACAGACAGTAGCTGTGACACTTATATTTGCTATTGGAGGGAAAGAAAAACATACTAGATTTGGTTTTCCATTAAAAACAGTATCTATTTCTGTTTTCTATTTAAGCTTACCAATGGGGTGGTTGACTAATGGCAGAGTAATCTTGCTCAGCGCCTGCTTTGCAAGTGCTAATCCTGTGGGCAACCTTTGGTTTCTTATCCAGCAGACACCAGTACTGATAAAACGTGGCATTTCAAAGTACTAAACAAATACTTACTGATCTCTGCTGGGCAGTTTGTCTGCTTTGTTCCCTTACAGAGGTTCTCACTGCAGTTTGTGACAGAGCTGTAATCTCCCAAAACAAAGACAGGAGGTGAAACCAATTTACTTCTGTCTTGCAACTGTTCCAGTTATGAGCTGGCTCCCTGAGTTGCTGGAAATCAGAAACTCCAATACTTCAGTGTAGTGAGGGTGTTGAATACTGAAGCCAGTTACGCTTCTCACAGCTTGGAGCTCACTGCTACTGCACCACCAGCAGAAACAGAAGGGCAATGCTGTTGGGCTCAGTCTGACTGTGCTGAGAGGACCCCTGCACTGCCCTGGTTTAGAAATCTGCCTTCTGCTGAAGCCACATCCACTTGTCTGTGTGGAAAAACAATTTTTTCTGCTGCCATCTGATCAATTCTCAGTGCATTAGCATGTGGACCCTCTTTTCTCTACAACAACAGACTGTTACCCAGTGAGGTCTGGCACTAATGCCAGCTGACTTTCAGGAGGAATGTGTTTCCTTTAGATTTTCAAGTTAAAAGAACGATGCTTTTTTTTCTCTCTCCTTCTCTTGAGAATATATTTTAGAATAAGCAAGATATGCTTTGTATTTACAAAAAGAGAAAGAATGAAAGCGGAGGCAGATACAAATAGTCACAGTCAACTGTCTACCCACGCTCGTTTCACAGAAGTCTGGTTTCACAGCATCCTCTGGTATCTCATGCTAGACAATTATCCTGACATGATGTTGACTGTTACCTTGTTACCAATGTCAGCCTGAGTACAGAACAGCTTTCTAATTTAGCCTCTCTAAAAATAAACTGCAGCATCAATGCAAAAAAAAAAAAAAAAAAAAAAAAGTCCAGTAGCAATTAAACATACTAACAATTATTTCCTAAAGAGCTGTATCATTTAAAATCATCTTACTTTCAAGACAGCAGAGCATGTGAATTCTGGATGAGCCTTCATGTAAGCAAGACCTGAGGGCATACAAGTCTGGGTAAACATGCTTCAGATGTCTACATGGACAGGGTGAATGCAGCAGCACAACAGCCCCCATGGATAATTACATTGTTTCATCTGCTTTTTAAGGAGCCTAGACACAATGGCTCATGTTAAATCTGCTCACAGGCCCTGCCTGTGAGCTCTTGCTCTCTGCCAGTCTCTTGCTGTCTTGGCTGGAAACACAGTGTGCAACGAATTCTCACTCTTGAGGAACATTGTTCAATGGCCTGACAGCTGAACTGGCATACATTAAAAAAATGCCATCAGGAAGAGGAAGCTGTGGAAAGCACTACTGGAAAGCACAGATGATAGTCCTAGAAAGCTGTAGACCAGGCAAGCTGACAGGGCTGAGAGATCTCAAGGCAAAAACGGTGAATGCCAAGTGTGTAGGGAAGAACCCCACAAAAGTGGGCATTAGTCCTCTGCAAGGAATGGGCAAGGCTCAGTCATTAGGATTCATGGCAAAATCTCATGATTTTTTTTTCCTGTCCACCTATGTCAGGTGTTTCTTACAGAGACACACTAAAAGACTTTTGCTCAATAAAACCCAGGAATCTAAGTTAACCATCTGCAGAAAGAAGGAAATTGCTTACCTGAAATTTGTTCTCTGCAGTGTCAGTCCCAACAGACACCCCTACCATCTACTTACTCCCTGCACCCTCCTCATCCTGGCAGAGCCAGATATCAGTTTATTAACCCTGATTAATTGTTACAGGATTGTTCTCACCTCCTCCTTAAATGGAATTAGCTGCTGGACTAAGTTGCAGGAGAAGGCATTGGGCTTGTGTGGGAGCAGCTCCAGACCCAGAAGATTTAACTGACCACATTGCCTGAACACCCGCTTTCTATATTATTTACAGTTGAGCAGCTTCTTTCCCCTGCTTGTCTCTCAAGGGCTCTGTGCTCTGCCTTTGAACCAGAAGAGGGAGGAAATGTGCGTATTAGTATTTAGCCTCTCTGTAGGTGTTCACTTCTTCCCTTACTCCACTGCTGAGAATTGTGCCTTCCTTTCTATTAATCTTTGATGACTTACTAAAACCAGCTTTTTCCAAGAGAGGAGTTTAAATCCAAGGTGTTCAGTCAGGGGATTTGTTGGTTACTCAGTTGAGAAGTAAGAGCTGCTGGCTACTTGGTACTTTTGGTAATGTCTTCTGAGCTAGCATGGAAAACAGAACCAAAGAAGGTTCTGCTAAGGAGCAATTTGGGAGTGGATAACATCAGGCATGGGTTACAACTCCATCAACCTACCTCTACTGACAACCAAGACTGTTGCATAGGCGAGAGGTATGGAGAGACCAAGCACAGAGAGAAGAAAGGGTTTTGTGGGAAAGGGTAAGAGCACTCTGGCTCTTTTCTGTGCCTAAATCATGTTTGTCAGGTTTCAGGCTTTTCTTCTGAAATGCTTTAAACTTGGACATGCACAAATTTGTTCAGGTGCTGATGCCCCTTGTCAGGAGAGCTTTAATTGGAGACTCTCCTCTCTGGACTAGGCCAGGCAGGTGCCTGTGATGGGAGCTAGCAGTACAGCTGTATTATGGTTAGGGAAGGACCTTAGTGGAGACGGTCAAAGCAGGGATAGGCTGTTGACCTCTGAGGGCAGCTGTACTTGTGTTCTTCCTGCACAGAAACCCAGATATGATAATGCAGGTGAGAACATAGATTCATACCATCATGCCCGGGCTGTTTTCCAACAACCCCTATGCTGCAGCTGTCTCCTGAATTAATTAGTATGACAAGAACAGATTGATGCCTGACTGACTGTGTTTTCAAGGAAACAGGGCATTTGGAAGTTCAAGCAAATTAAAAGCTGTGTTACTGTGTTCTATGTATTTATTTTTCCATGGGAAATGGGTTTGGCTGTATTTATAAATGTAATTTCCCTAAGGAGTAAACACTTTGTCTTGAAAGAAAAAGTAGCGTTCCTGTAGAATAGAGCTTTTTCACATCATGTCTCCTTCCAGAGCTAAGGCTCTGGAAGCCTTAATATTTTCTAATATGAAAGTTTGTCTGGTTTAGTATTTTGGAATTTCACAGTACTGGAAAATTAATTTCTCTCTCTCCTTTGCCACTGACACTATTGAAATATTGCTAGCAGTTAAGACCTTTATTTTGTTCCATGATGTTCCAATTTGTACCCATAAGCAGTCAGAGGACATTGTAATTAAGTAAGTTCAATTAAATCTAGGATTTTTGAGGCTGCTATATTATAGTTTTCTATTTGTCTGTGGTGACCATGGAGGAAATAATGAAATATGTAAAGACCTCAATGAAAGCAGAATAATATGAATCACAGGAAAATAGTCTTTCAGGATGAAAAATAAAAGATTCATTAGTGGGAAAGAAGCAGAAAGGCTCACACAAAATGGCACAGGGCTGTGACCCAGAAGAGCTCTCACTGCAGGATTTAAAAATTGTGTAACCATCTTCCACTGGTCATTGTTTTTGGCTTTTACTATCATTATTCCCACCTGTGGTAATTAATGCCTCCTCCTTTCTGAAATTATGCTTGTCATTACAGCAGCAACTCAAAGCGCTAGCTGTAATTTCCCCATCCCTGCATCTGTACTGTGCAAACACAGGAGACAACTCATCCTGCATCTAAAACAACCCTGGAGGCGAAGTGTGGTCCTGAGTCAAACGTGGCTGAAGTGACTGGAGCAGGATCACACAGGGAGTCCTGGGCCAAGGCTCAGAAGTGAAATCACGGGTCACCTCTGTTCTCTCCTGGACATCAGATTATTTGACTTGCAATCAGAATGATAAAGTCATTAAAGAGGCCACCTGTCTTCCCAGAGGGACTCTCACAAGCACATTGCAAATGTCCATTTACCTGAAGGATTTTATAATTACAAGATTTTACTGATTTAGTCTGCTGACCTTCACACAAAATGTTACTGATTTCACAGCCTTTTTACTGCCTTTCACAGCAAACAATGTTAACAATCATAGCAGGCTCAGACTTCAGACAAGACATCGGAAAATCCATTCACTGGGAAAAAGTGCTGGGTGCACTCTCTGGAGTTGGCTCGTTTGATGACCCTTACAAGAAACATATGGGGAACAATCTGCCAAGTGCAGGTTAGAGCGCTCTCGTGATGCACCAGAGCACTTGTACACCAGAGCACAGGGGAATGACAGCAGTTAGCATTCAGATTTTGAACTGCCCAATTTAATTGATTTACTATTATTCTTTTGAAAAAAGGCCTGCTGTATTATGTGGCTGAACTCTTCAAAGGAGTATTAAAATGGCTTTCAAATAAAAAAAAAAAACCCAAAACCAACAACCAAGGCTGTTTATTTAGACTTAAACAATAGAGATGGGGGTGGGGAATGTGCTAAAACCATTTTTTTTTTCAGCAGAATCTAAACATTGCCCTCCAAATATTTAAGTGTATCTCTTTCCATACTATCTGAGAAATAGTTGAAAACGATGCAGCCAATTTTGTGCCCTCTGCTCAATCACAGAGATCTGGGATTGTTTGTTAAAGATAGGACTTCAAGAATAATTTTGTAAAGTAAGATTTTATATCTCTTTTGTTTTATAAGCTAAGTGGGCATTGAACACCTCTATGTTCAAGGCATACCCAAAAAAAGGTCATTCTTGGGAAGAAACCAGACCCCAAAACCCCCCAGTTGAAAACAGATAGCTGGAGAACACAGAAAGCAGTCTTTCTGAAGTACCATACAGACTAACTATAATAATCATGAGATATTTCAAAAAGTTTTAAATTGCACAAAAGTTCCCTTTATTTCTTTTATGATCACTCTTTTTCAGGTCCGTGTCATCCT